TATGTTTAGGTGAAATAAAATTCGAAAATTAATAAAAAATATTTTTTATTTTTTAGTTAGTTTTAGATTTGTTTTTCTTTGACTTGGGGGTTTTTTATATGGGAGCTAAAAAATATTTAATTTAATTTAGTTCAAATTGTGTTTGCAAATTTATTAGATATACGTCTTTTTTTTATTTAGTGCAAATAGCGTATGTGTGTGAAATAATTATTGGTATTTTTGATTTAAGCTGCAATTTCTGTTTTATTTGTATTTATTTTTTATATTAATAAATACTTGTTAGAGTTTCAATACAATCAAACCAATATATATGTATATCTATATACCACAAACATTTCAGCTCATTTTTAGCTCTCAGATCTTAATCAAAATCGTAATAAAATATAGAAAAAACCCTGCGTAAACCCCCCTATAAACACCCCTCATATATTAAGCTCTCGCCTCTACAATAAAACAAAAACTCGTTAATATATTTATACCTACCATAAATGAAGCCATCTATCGATATATATATATATTTTTTTCTTTTTCGTATATGCATAATTATTTAGATAAACATTTTTTTATGTAAACGTTTTTTCCTACTCTACTTTTTTGAGATATACGATTTGTATTTGTATATAAATATATATTTTATCCGATAAATATTTGCACAATTTTAATGTTTTTCTCTTTCTTTCTCTCTCTCTCTTTCCGTGTGGATATATAATCATGTTCACTTCAGGGCCAGATTCCTTGGTGCCAAATTATGACCATGTAGAGCGTCAACTCAAATTTTACGATATTCGAACGCCGCTTGTGCTCAGCTGCAATGTGAAAAATGTGGAGTCCGATGATCCACTCATATGGTAAGTTAGAAATATATGTATATATATACTCAAAAAGGAATTTTGCGTTGAATTGTTTAGTAAAAAATGTTTTAGTATGGTTAGTTTAGTTTAGTTTCAGTAAAAATTAAACAAAGTAAAAATAAAATAATCCTTTGATAATTCAAAAAAAAAAAAAAAAAACAAGATGTAATATAATATACGAAAAGAAAAAAAGAAAATTAAAATCAAAACGAATATAATTAGAAACAATTAATTTCTAATAAGTTTATCGACCCGTTACATAATTTCTGAGAGTGTACGTCGAGTTTAGCCAATAGAAAGGCAGATAGAACGCAGTCGAGCGGGCAGTCCGTCAGTTTGGTATCTCCCCCAGCTCTGGCCTATGGCCTATGGCTCTGCATACTAGTTGGCAGTTATAAGAGCAATCATTTTAATACGGCACAGCTAAGCACTTTTGCTTAATTATGTTGCCCCCCTTAACCAAGCACTTGACTGACGTAACCTGGAGAGCATAGCTTAGGCGCTGGATGGTTGGGGGGGAGGTTGAGGTGGGGTGTGTGTGTGTGTGTGTGTGCTAAAAAGTGCCCGATTACAGGGAGTGGGCTTATCCGACTCTAGTTTCTATATATGTATGCGTGAGAGCAAATATGTGTGCATGTATGTGTGGGTGTCTGTGTGTGGGTGTGAAAGAGGCCTCGTAATGGTAATGACACTTTTTGTCGGTCGCCAGGGCCAGAAAACTTAGCTTTGCGTGCCTCACTTTGAATTAGTCCTGAATAATTGGCACCAAAAGTTCTTGAACTGAATAAAAATATTGGTCTATGGAATTTTTGGCTAACAAGAAAAACGAGGTAAAGCCGAACCCGAAAATTTTAGTTTTCCGATTAAATATGGAAGATATAATTATCGGTTAGAAATGACAGTAGAAAAACAGAAGTTTAGAATATGTAAGAAAATAAAAAAAGTAATTATCAGAGCACAGCGAACAATCGATAATTCAACGTCTTGAAAATATATAATAATACCAATATCACGAGACAATCAACATAAAGTATCCACAAGAGTAAAATGAAGCTCAACATATTGTAGGGCATGGGTTAAATATCAACTAAAGTAAAAACATCAGTTTTAAAGTTATTGATACCTTCGACTAACCGGCTGTAGGTCCGCTCTTCATGACTTTCGAATATTATAAATATTTCAGCTGTAAATAAAATAGCCAGTAATAAAAAATAAACGATGAAAAAATTATCGATAATATAATTACATTGTATTTTATATTTATACATGGATTATTATTATATTAATATTATTCATGGAATATTTCGATAACATATATCGTAAACCCTTTCCAGATAGTTAACTTAAGTTTATTTCTATACAAAAATATCGGTATTTGAGCTGTAACCATTTATCAATTTCGTTATTCTATGCGTATTTTAAATTTAACTAATTGCTATGTTCTCCATTTTTAATGTATAAATAGGAAAAAGGGCGGCGTCAATGTGACGGATGTCCCCTCACTGAGAGGTCGATTTAAACTTATTCATGCCGAAAGAAAGTTCATAATTGACAGAGCGGAAGCTCACGACGATGGTGACTACAGTTGTGAGTTCAAGGGCGTGTCCAAAGATATTCACGTGATTGGTAAGTAAACAAACAGATAATTAACAAAAAAGGTATTTAGGAAAAAAAGAAAACATTTTAATATCACATTCCTTTTTTTTTTGTCTTCAGCTCGCGTGGTCGTACGAGTGCCTTCAAATGCTGGTGTTGTAGAGGGTGAAAAAATGATGATCCCCTGCACAGTTCTTGGTAGCAATCCTAGATTGTCATGGAGTTTTGGTGAGTGATCTAAGTTAATGAGAGAATCAAAGAGTCAAAACGAAAAAACAGATAGCATAATAACCTTAACTTTACAAGAAGAATCTATAAAATTTGCATTCTGCAGAGCGAGTATAAAGAGGTTTATATAAAACGGTTTATGTCGTTATTGTTAATTTATCATCCAATATTTCCAATATGGAAATCATATCTACTGTAAGCTCTATAAAGCTCTATCACTATAATTTAAAAACAAAAATGTATTTATCAATGATTATTTTTTCGATATATCTATATGTATAATCAGCATCTTTTTCCTTTATTAAGATGTTGAATAATTTTTTAATGGAAATCCTACCGATTTTTGAAACTCCAAAATACTCTATCACTATGATTTAAAGATTGTATTGATCGATGATTTTTTTTCTTCATATATATACATAATTTATATCTCTAAAAGGATTTTAAATGAGTTCTTGAATAAGTTTGAATATTAAAATATACTGAAAGCTAAAAATATAGAAAATTCAGCTAAACAACTTCAACTTTTGCAAAGATCTGAAAATTTCTCTTTAGGCCCGGCTAAATCAGATACTAATTTCAATTTCTTTTCTTCTTCCGACACAGGCAATTACACAAATGTCACAAATAGCACAGATCGTTATATATTGAAAGCGGATGATAATAAAATTGAGAATGCAATTTTAATGATTGAGAACGTGACATTGGATGATAGAGGCGATTACAAATGCCATGGACGCAATGAGGCCAATGATTATGCCAATAGCACCGTTGCCACCGATGTTGTAACCGTTCGTGTTAAGGGTAAATTATAATGCAGAATTCACTCTTTTCGATATATATATATCTATCTAATTGCTTTATCGTTTACTTTCAGGCAAATTTGCTGCCTTGTGGCCTTTCCTTGGCATTTGTGCTGAGGTTTTGATACTTTGTTTGATCATTCTCATCTATGAGAAGAGACGCAATAAGAGCGAGCTGGAAGAGAGTGATACTGATCCGCAAGAACAGTAAGTTGCCAACAACAACAACACCAAGAAAAACCCAACAACAACAACAACAACAACATGAAATCAACAAACAACAGCAACAAGCAGTCCACAACAAACAACACCAAATATTTTGTAACAATTTGAAATGCAGCAGCAAATTTACATTTTAGTTAATAAACTGCAAATTAAAGACGTTTGAAGCTGCATACGCAAATGCGCAACAAACACACACAACAACAATCACAGACACAACACACACACACACACACACAAACACACACACACACACACAAACACAACACACACACACACACACACACACACACACACACACACACACAAACACACACACAAACACACACACACAAACACACACACACAGAGAGACATAAGCAACGTACTTACACACAGACACAGCAGCACCAGCAACAAGAAATTTAGCAAAATTTTTCTTAGTTAACAAAATTAAAAAAAATTATTAA